AATAGAAGAGCGAGAAGAGGTAGAAATAAGATACCACTTGATCTAAAAAAAAATGCAGCTTGATAGAAGGCTTCTACTTGTGTTGTTCCCCACTGTTTTTTCACTAAGAGTTTTGTTAATAATAAATTTTTTATTATTACCAAAATTTGGATTAATCTTAGCAGCCATCTGCTTTTTCAAGTTTAACCATTGCTTCTGGCTTGCTTGCTGAATATGAAAAGAAGTCCCCCAAGAAATAAGGTTGATCTTTACAAAAACTACTTGTAGTATTATCCTACTATATCTTTTGGTATAGGTAATGCTTCAACACAAGTTTACTTGCACTTCTATTAGTGTAAAAAATGGTCCAAGTGATCGTTGGGATTTTTAATTGTATTAAATTTTTTTGCAAACTTTAGAAATATATTTTTATTTATATTTAGTTTTGCTCCTAGTTAATTTTAAAGTTTGTCATTTGTAATAGGTTTGTCATGTATATATTTTTGTTTTTTATATAATTGTTATAATTACTTGTATTACTAAACTTGTTTTCTATTTGTATATATATACTTGTTTGTTTATTTAACTATTTTGTTTATATATTTGTTTATATCACATGATAAGATTTGCGTTTTAGAGTCTAGACTGAATTTTTAAACTTTTCACAAAACAACAAAGTGGTATTAAGTTTTTAGAATCTGTGCTTGTTTTTTATGCTAGAAGTATGTATTTTTGCTGCTTATTTGAGCAACTTAATTTACTTGTACATTTTCCTGTACTCTTTCTTTTTACTTAAATCTAGAGATATTGTTCTATAGTATGTATTAATCTCTATGCTTGTTTTTCTTCTCTTCAATTTTTGGTGCAGATAATTATCAAAAAGAGTTCTGTGTAAATGATACTTTTGTTTAAATTTTTTTAATAAAATTTTAAATATTAATTTTAGCTATATATTTTTTAAGTAAAATATTTAATTTTAGATTTGTTTTATTAACTTTGTTAAGAAAATTTTTTAAAATTATTAAAAAACTTTAGTGTAATAGAAGTTTAAAGTTTTTGTATTAAAATTCTGAACATTTTTGTTTTTGTATTAAAATTCTAAATATTTTTACTTAGAATACCCAATTCTATTTACTTAGTACATTTTTGAAATATAGTATCACTGGTAAATTTTACTTCTGGTTAGTATTAAAATTATCTTAAATATTATCAAAATTTTCAAATTGGTCTCTTTATATATATAAAAAATAAAATCTAAATTTGGCTGCTAAAGAATTTTATTTATTATAGCTAGGTTGTCTGCATTGTAGATTGTTTTTAAAAAAAATAGATTTATAAATACTATAGAGAGGTTTAACTATATTATAAATTTTTTTTATAATCAAAATATAGAAACCTCTATAGCAAAAAAAGACAGCGGGGCAAAAACTTTGATTCTTCAAGAAAGTTGAGTTTACGAAAAAATTTTTTTTTGCCTACTGCCTTCTTTTGCTGTGGGATTTCTATATATAGCATTTTACTTTTATATAAAACAATTAGCAAAACTGCACCAATTTTTATTATGAAATTTTGACTCTTTAACTGCAAACTACTTCTTAATTGTATAAAGTTAAAAAATTATAAAAAATTCTATATCTTATTTTTAAAGTAATAGTTTGGCTTAGCTCAAGGTTGATTGGCTTGTAAATAGCTCAGCTCTGCTTGTTGAGCTAAAAAGATCGGCTTGGCTTGATCAGTGTTAGTCGTGAACTGAGCTAAGCCAAGCTATTCGCATCACTAGATATACGTACTCACTATTGAGATTTTTTATAAATCAATAATAGCAAAACATATAAAATTCAAAATCGTAATAATTCTTGAACTAGAAAACCTACACAAATAATATTATAGCTATCGGGTTTATTTTAGCATGCTATTTAAAGTAACAATGCCTTTTTTTTATTTTTATTGCTTGGAGTAACTCAATTTTTGAGCAAAGATCGTTCTTGATATATGTTTAATAAAAATATCAATAAAGTGACTGAGTTTTTGTCTGTCGTTTATGCAATAGTGATCAACAAAAAATTTGTTACGTTTGATATTTTTATTAAAAATGCAACGAAAACGATCATTTTGTACGGAAATTGAATCTCCCGCTATGCTTCAAACAATAAAATAAATAAATAAATAAATGGTGTTGTTACTTTAAAGAACATGCTAAAATAATAAATTTTATTTATGTGAGTCTGTTGGTTCAAAAGTTATTGCAGTTTGAATCTTATATTTTACTACTATTACACTATCGTTGATCTATACCTGCATTATGCTTGTAATTAGACTGATATAGAACACCCCAAAACAGACGTTCGTTTTGTCAAAAGTCGTCTATTTCTCAAAAAACGTATAAGAAACCATCATTGGTGCCTTAACAAGTTTTCTTGAGCGATTTTACTATATATTTTGCTAAAATCTAATCCTAATATGAACGCTAACTCCGACGTTAATAAACTTTAAAGAATTTTGTTAATTGCAAATTTGCACCAAAGAATCTATGGGCGTTCTCAAGCACCTACCTCAATGAATTCAATAAAACATCTGATTGGCTAGTTTGATCATACAGACCAATCAGATTCATTATTGAGTCCATTGAGGTAGGTGCTTGAGAACGGCCTATACGTGCGTTGAGAAATTAGATGTTAGTAGATATATTCGTTATTCTGTACTGAAAATTATGAACATTTTACGTAAGTATTATGTACCAGTCTAGAGACATTAGGGTTGTTAAAACTTACCTGACAACTTACTTTACATGGTAAGTTACATGTAAGTTACTGTAACTTACATATGGTCAAGTAAGTTATAGTTAGGGATGTTGAAAGTCCGGTCTGAGTCGGTTTTTTCAAAAAAGTCGAGTCTTTATTAAAGTTCGGTCCCAAGTCAGACATTTCACGTGCAACTTGTATATTATATAGCACTAAAAAAAAATGTGTGCGCATACACTTTTTTTTTTTGGTTATTTAAATGTTCAAGATACACGTGAAATGCGAGTAAGTTCCAAGTCTGACTTGGAATCAAACTTTAATAAAGACTCGACTTTTGGAGTCGAGTCGGACCGAAACGAACTTTTAACATCCTTAGTTATAGTGTAATTTACAGCAACTTACATGTAACTTACATATAATTTAACATCCCTAAGAGATATATTCTATATTAAATTTTTTTTCATATCATAAACTAGCCCCCCTGTGAAATGTATTGATGTATTATACTTTAGTTTACATGGTATAGTATATGATAGAATAAAGTAAAAATCTTAGCGAAGAAAATTATTGTAGAAGTTCAACAAAATACTTGATCCTATTATCGTAATAGTATCGTAACGTCATGTAGTTATATGGGCAGTGTTCTGAGAAAAGGGCCCAAATTGATAAAAAATTTTCTTCACAAAAAATCAATTATCTCGTGAATTATTAATCAGGATTGCATAAGTTTGGTACCATTCGATTCGTCTCACGAGAGGAATCGAATAGTACCAAAATTATACAATTCTGATCAATAGTTCACGAGATAATTGATTTCTTGTTAAGAAAATTTTTTATTAATTTGGGCCCTTTTCTCAGAACACTGCCCATATAATAAATAATAAATTTTGGGAACTGATACGTATACCATTATTTTTGTTATTCGTACCCTAAACTTAATTATCGCACGTATAATGTCGGGGCTCCAAGCGGTGTTTGAATTTTAGAGTCCCGACACCATACGATGTGATAATTATCGAAAATTACGAATAATCCTAAATTTTTTTGTTTAATGCGCACACAAAACGAGATTATCATTCAGATCTAGTCATGTGAGCTAGAATCTTGTTAAAGATAATTGTCCGGGGACATTATGAGTACCCTAGCCATGGCAAAAAAAGTTCGGGTCATGTGACGATCTGCAGTAAATTAGCCAATAACGATTTCCAATTTGGTGTAACGTAACACGATCATGAAAATTCAAAACAAAACGTTCGCTCTAAAGAAAATTAGATGAAATCGCTTATTTCTCGACAAACTTCATAAGAAACAACCTTCTACGCACTATCAAAAAATGTCGGGGAGGTAATTTTACCTATAGCACTCTCTAACCCTAATCTAAATAAGCTTAAAGATTTTTATCGGTTATTTTGATGATCAATAATAGTAATACTGTAATATCAAAAATGTAACTTGTGCTGTCCCCATGCGTATAATAGTTACATTTTTGATACATCACATTGTTTTAATTTATGTTGTATCAAAAAAAGAAATTAGATCTTAGTTATTATTGTGCTTCGGACACACAATGCTGCGCATTAACCTAGTGAATACGTATAAATGGATCCGTATCATTTCACAATCACTTCATAGACACTTATTTCACTGACAATTAATTCTCAGACAGGTTTATTTCATAGATAGTTTATTTTACTGAAGCTCGTTTCATAGACAGTTTATTTCACCGGCAGCTCATTTTTTTCTTAATCATAACCTTGTTTCTAAACTAATCCTAATGACAGCGGCCAGAATTACTTTGTGAGATGAGTTGCCGATGAAATAAATTGTCTATTAAATGAGCTGTCGGTATGATAAAATGAAACTTGCCTGTGAGTTGTCTATGAACTAATTGTCGGTGAAGTAAAGTGATCGTAAGTACCGTAATGTAATTCGTTGCTCGCGTTTGTGCGACGATCAATTGCGTGTTGACAAAAAAGGAAACGGATATCATCGTACGATTTTTAACAATCTCAGTTATTGTGTTCATTTTGCAGATTTTACAGAATTTGATTTGCGAAGGTGATGTGGGATGATTATTTTCTGATTATAAACACGTGATCTTAAATTGAAACTCAATATTCAGTCGAGAAAATTAAAATTTGCACACATTTTACCTGCTCTTTTTTGTGTTTATAGCAGCCTTCTTTTTATATTTTGATGAATTAATACCTTTTTTCGCGTTTCGCAAAAAATTTCGCGTTTTGTGTGAACTTAAAACGAACTTAGACGCCTCAGACCACAATGTCCAAGAATCACAATGATATTTATGATTATAGACACCCGCTTTATATTGGTAAATGGCGAAAGTCTGTCGTGTGCCTAACCAAAGATTTTGCAAACGACAACTTAGACGAGCCTCATTTGAAACGAAGAACCACAATTTTGAGCCAATATCCTGAAATTGAAAGACTATACGGATACGACTTCAGTACTGCAATTATCGCTATTGTAAGCACAATGGTTCAAGTGCTTGCAACATATGCATTTAGTCACCTCCTGGTTGATTGGAATTGGACAATATTCTTTTTTTCATTTGTCATTGGAGGGAGTATGACGCAAATTTATAGCGCAGTAATTCATGAAACAGCGCATTGCCTCGCGGCAAGTACTGAGATGCAGAACCGTATTTTGGGTCTTATTGCAAATATAGCCATACCAATACCTATAGCTATGTCCTTTCGTCGATACCATTTAGAACATCATGCTTTTCTAGGAGTAAATGGGATAGATCTGGATTTACCTTTAAAGTGGGAAAGAGAGATTATTAGTGGTAGTACAATGCTTAAATTATTGTTGGTAAGCTTTTATCCCGTAATACATTTTATTCGCATTATAGCTATGTTAAAGAGTCCACAACCGTGGGAGTATATAAATTTCGTTTTTACTTTCTTAATGGATATTCTTATATACCATTACTGTGGCTATCGTGGATTATTATATCTATTTATGTCATTATGGTTTGGTTTTAGCATCCATCCAGCAGCAGCACGTTTTATTCAAGAACATTATACGTTTGATGATGGTCAAGAAACCTATTCTTATTACGGAAATCTTAATAAAATATTTATGAATATTGGATATCACAATGAACATCATGATTTTCCACAGGTAATTTTATCATTTCTGCTTATTTTACTTTATAAATTTCTTTAAAATACACTATTCAAGGCAACAAATGTCGCGATGGCGTGATCACTAATATTTCGTTTTTAACCTTAAGTCAGGTTAATTATACTGTAATGCATTAAAATCTTGTTGCTGCGACATTCTTATGCTATGAATATCTATCTATATACTAATTTTATTTTAATGTAATCTATAAATTTCTATATTTTAGATACCGTGGACAAGACTTCCCGAAGTTCATAATATTGCAACCGAATATTACGATAACCTCGCTTATCATACGTCGTGGTTTATGGTTCACTGGAATTTTATTTCGCAAAAGCAGTTTGGGCCACAATGTCGTGTAACTAGAAGTCTTAAAGCTCATAAAAAAGGTCGAAAATTGTTAGCAACCTTAAAAAGGATGTTATCATAGATGAAATTTAAGAAGCTAATAGATTTAGCGATTAAAATAATATATAATTATGTTTCTTTTTGTTAGGTGAAACATGTAAATGTCCTTCCCTACGACTATGTATTAAACAGAAAAAACCAAAATTCAATAATACATAAACTGTATTATAACAGGCATTGATATGCACGTGATTTTAAAATAATTTGTGCTGATCATTAGGTGAGGTGCTTTAATACATTAAATTTTTATGATGAGAACTCTTTGTCCGTTTTTTTTTCATAAAAAACATTATATTTGAAAGCATAGTATAATATGATCGCTAATAACTTCAGTTAAACCAAATTATAACTGATAAAGTATGAATATCGGATCTACGTACGTACAGTACAAATAAAAGTTATCAGTTATCGAATTTCAATATAACCCGGGACCAGTGCGCAAAATCAGTCGGAAATTTCCGTTTGGCTAAGATAAATCCCGGCGTAATTCTAAGCGGTCCATATCCAAACAGCCATCCGGGTAACCGTGTATCCGACCACCCGACCCGAAATTTTTGTCAACCGGATCAGACTTTTAGCAAATCGGCTGATCCGAAACCTTTTACTAATCGATCCGAAATTGTTATTATACAAATTCTTGGGACATCTGATAAATTGTCGATGAATGAACAAGGTAAGCTCTCATTACGGCTTATGTCGGTAACTTATTAATTTCGATTCGGTAGCATCAATTCAGTCATCAAAATTTTTTCACCTATTCCAGAATTTATGAAAACAGCTGTAATCTATTATTTACCCGGGTAAATAATTGGAATAAAATTTTGAGATCTTACCTGAAAGACCAACTCAAAAATGCTTTATTATACTTTAATAAAAATGCCGAATTTCATAGCGATAGTCTATCTGATCGTTTTTTAGTATCAAATTTTTCGGGTGATAGAACCGATAACCAGATAATCCGTTTTAATCGAGTATCCAGTTGATGAAAGTATTTTGACCTGACGGGTCACGGATAGAGATTTCAATTCGGTTTAGAACCCACTAATAATAGGTCCTTAAAATATGGGGTTTTGCCTTGAAAATGATCTTATGGGACATAACAATTACTATGTCCCGTAAGGACATTTTCAAGGCAAAAACCCAATACTCTGATTCGCAAATGATTGTATATTAATTAGTCTGGTGATTAAAATTTGAGCGTCACTGATGGGTGTTTGGTCGGCTAATTAAATCAAATCTATTTGTGAATTTTTTTAAATAATACAATTGGCTGATTTATTATGTATTGTTTAATAATCTATTCACCCGTAATTAATTGTGGTGGTAAAGGCCTGAACCAATCAAATAGCATATATAAATATGTGTTTTTCAGGTTATTAGTGTGGCACTTACATATTTGAAAATTTTGCTATATAATTCTTAAAATTGCATCTCATTGATGAATATTTAGAATTTTAAAAAAGTAAATATATTAATCTATGCATTGCCATTAGTACTTTAAACTCTTGTGTCAAAATTTTAATATTTAAGTTATTAAGCGAGTTATTTACAAATTAGCTCCTTTAGATTATATAAATATATATAAAAAATTAAAATTTTAAATACTAAAATAAAATCCTCACAACAAGTTAAAAAACACACTTTTAAATCTGTTTTATATTAATTTTAAGTTCAAAAAATTAATACCGTGAGAGGAGTTAGATTTCAAAAATCTATCACTTTCATATAATAAATTTTTAATAAAAAGTGATATTCATCTGTGTAATAATATGATCAGATAAAAAAAATTGACTAATTGTTTTTACTATAGTCTATATCGATGTTTGTTACAATTAGTTGATTAATCACCCACTGCAGCACTGTTCACGCTGATTGTTTTAATCTCTCCTATCTTTTTTTTATCAGTATGCTCTTTTAGGCTAAAATGGAAAGGATTTTTGTCAAATAATTTTATATTATCTTATATCTTAATATATCTGATATAGCTTGATATATCTGATATATATATCTGATATGGCCTCCAAAAATTTTTATCATATTTGGGTTTATTTACAAGATTTTTGACTTTGATTCTATAGTTAGATATATGCATTATAGTGTAAACTTTTTTTGAAATTACTAAAAATATACGATTTTTAGTTAATAATTTTCAGATCATTCCCAATTATAGCTATGTTTCTATAATTAGATTTTGATTTCTATTTCTAGTGTATACTGTACTCACTTTTGCTTTGATTTTTTGTAACATTTGTAGTTTCTATCATTTATAATAGTAACCTTTATGTTTATCGCTTATGTATCTTATTAGTTAAACTTTATAATATTTATATACTATTTTCTTTTTATAGCATATCTAGTAATTAGCTACAGGGATCAGCACTATTTTAATTCTATCAGATAGATCTCTATTTACTTATTGCATGTACGTATGTTCATAGAAACTCTTTAAATAAAACTTTCACCTTATATTTTGTTTATTGTTCTGTGCTTTATAGGTCTAATTTGCAAATTGTAAAATTGTAATGAAATATGTATAAACAATATTACATGGAATTTAGCAGGAAAGTATTATTATTATCTTTTTTTTAATAAAGTATAACTTAGAGTGATTAGATAAGTGTCTTTTGTTTTAAAAAAAAATTAAAAACTATTCAATATATTTAACTATATGAGTGCTATCAAAGGAAAATCTACAGTTAGTTTTCAAGTGTATTTTGAATACACTTGGTTATCTGTGTGCCATCTATGGTAAATCTATCATCAAACATAAATTTACATAGACAGCATACAGATAACCAACTGTATACAAAATATACTCAAAAGCCTGATTGTAGATTTTTCTTTGATAGCACTTATATTTAGTAAGTATGAACATCATTATCATTAGTTTTTTTTAGTTAATTTTGATTAATTTATGCTATCGCAGCTATGAAGCCTACTACAACATAAGGTCCTTGCAAAAATGAGGTTTTTGTGCTATCTGCAGCAACCATAGAGCCTAAACACAACATAGTTGCAGAGCTTAATTATTAAATATGAGGTTCTTGCATTGCCTGTGGCAACAATAGAGCCTAATTACAACATGAGGTCCTTGCATTGCTATTGTATTCACAGAGCCTAATCACTATGTGAGATTCTTGAATTATTATTATAGTTGCAGAGCATAATTACAAACATGAGATTCTTGTATTATCTATGCCTGCCATGGAGCCTAATTACAATGTAAGGTTTTTGCTTTGCTATTACAGCCATGGAGCCTATTCACGATATAAAGTCCTTGTACTGCTATTGTTGTCACAGAATTTAATCATCAAATATGATATTTTTTACTGTCCATTGCAACTATAGAGCCTAATTACATGATGTTCTTTATTGCTATTACATTTATGAAGCCTAATCACACTGTGAAACCTTGCATTGCTATCATAGTTATAAAACTTAATTACTATGTATAAGTTCTTGCACTGCCTGCAGCAGCTATAGAGTCTAATCACAACATAAGGTCCACAAAGTCTAAACATAATATAAGATTCTTGGACTGCTATCATAGTTATAGTGCTTAATTACATAATATGAAGCTCTTGCACTGTCTGTGGTAGCTATAGAGACTAATTACAATATGGGTTCTTGCATTGTTATAGCCTATAGTTAATTCTGCCTGATGAATGACACAACTTGCTTCATTCGCATATGTTGAACCTATTTTGTAAGGCAACTTCAAGTTGACAAAATAACAAATAGTGTTCTAAGCTAAATAAGCTAGCTGTTTAGCTAGCCATTTAGCTGCTTAGCTAGCTGATAATTTGTTCAGATAGCTAATAATAGCTAATGATATTAATTACAAAATTCAAAGTTGTAAAGTATAACTAAAATTTATTAGTATTATTAAAAAAAAAAAAATTAACCAATATAACTAACTTGAATCTCTGTTATACCTTGAATTAAATTTTTGCATTAGATCAAAATAATTGTAATGCTACTAATACTAACACTTACCTTAATTTAGGTTTTCAACTTAATTCTAATTAAACTCAGTATTGAAATTTTGATATAATACAAATTTTAACTGACATATAACATATTTATTTGAATATTATTAGTTTCTAAGAAATTAATTTGCATATAAAATGTCAGATTTTGTAACACATACAATAACAAAGCTTCAAAATATCATCGAGGATTTCTATTTGTTTT